CGGATCTGGGGCTCGAAACCCATGTCGAGCATGCGGTCGGCCTCGTCCATGACGAGGTAGGTGACGCGGCGGAGGTTGGTCTTGCCGGCGTCGACCATGTCGATCAGACGACCAGGGGTGGCGATGACAATCTCGGCGCCACGCTGCAGGTCGCGGGTCTGGGGGCCCTTGGGCACACCACCGTAGACGGCGCAAGTGCGCAGGCGGCTCGAGCCACCGAAGCGGTTGCACTCGACCTGGATCTGGTTGGCGAGCTCACGCGTGGGGGCCAGGATGAGGGCGATGGGACCATCGCCGGGCTTGAGGAGGGGCTGAGCGTTGATGTGAACCATGGCGGGGAGGGCAAAGCCGATGGTCTTACCCGAACCGGTCTCGGCGATGGCGACGAGGTCGCGACCGCTGAGCGCCATGGGCCAGGCCTGAGACTGGATGGCCGAAGGCTCAGAGAAGCCCATCTTCTTGATTTCGGAAAGGATGTAGTCCGGGAAGCCAGCCTCGTCGAACGAGGTGACGGGCTTGGGGACGTTCTGACCCTGGATGGTCATCTGCTTGGAGGCGCGGTAGTCCTGCACCTCGCGGTCGGAGCGGGCGGCGACGCGCGGGTCTTCGATGTAGAAGTTCTTCTCGAAGTTGACAAGGTCGACGCTGTTCCAGTCGACAGCACCGAGGTTGGCACCGAGGTTGCTCATGCGGTCTCCGCCGCCAAAGCCACCACCGTAGCCACCGCCGTAGCCGCCGCCAGCTCCGCCGCCGTATCCTCCACCGCCGTACGAGGAGGAACCGCCGCCGTAGGAGCCGCCGCCGTAGCCGCCACCTCCGCCACCGTAGCTGCTAGGGCCGCCGCGAGGAGCGCCGCCGCCGTAGCCACCGCGGCTAGGGCCGTTGCTGTATCCACCGTAAGACATGATGTGCGTGTAGATTCTCTTGCTGGGATGTGGATGCAGGAAAGAAGTAAGTTTGGTTATCCTGAAAAGAGGATGAAGGGATGGATGTGGTAGAGAAGAGAGCGATGAGGGTCTGTCAGCGGACTAAGGGCGGCCGAAGTGAATGCAAGCTCAGTTCAAGGGGCAGCGCGTTGACAAAAGAAAAAAAAATGCTGCTGCAGGGTTGAGGCAGGGTGCCCTTGCTGAAATTTTCTCGCTGTTCCGCAGCTTCATCCGCCTCGATGCCAAAAAAAATGGTGAGCGTGAGAGCAGAGCGATTCCGCCACCGAGAGAGACGTGTGCGTGTCATTTTCGACTCGCTTGTACTTCGGTCGCGGACACACTGGCGTCATGCCCAGGCTGGCGAGGTTCGATGTGGGATTTTCACCGAGTTCGAATTTCGCCCGGCCAAGATCAGCCACTGCGAAACTCTCGCACGAATGAATTTCGTGCCCTTTGACTGTAGAGCCCAAGCGGTATAACAATTTGCGACGTTTTTCAGTAGAGATGTTGGGGCGCAGCTGCAAAATGGCATGGCATGGCTTGGAATCCAATTGGGGAGGGTGCAGCTGAGCGCGCAGCCCCATCAAAGCCGAAGCCTCTTGCGCCGCTGCAGACCTTCCCCTCGCCCGTCCAGCCCAGACGAGTCACCTTCTTGTGAACGTGTCTGTGGCGCTCTGTCTGTCGCCATAACCGTCATGACAGACCGACGAGCGCAAGTAGATTCTCGATCCATGCTTTCTGGGACGTGTGATACCTGCAAAGTCGAGGCGCATCGATAGAAAGGCAAGGCGGGTGTGGCCGTCGATCTCGATAAGGGACCCTGGCTATTCGAATCAGGGAGGCGAGAGAGAGGTTGGTTTGAAATCCGCGTGACGCGGGGCTTTTTCGCGGTAGCTTTGCGGCAGGTTAGCCGGGTTGGAATGGGGGGGCCAACGTGAAATCGTCCAAAAAGCTCGCTTTGACACGCTCGAGTTGGGGGGCTCAGGCCAGCGGCAGCTGCAGCGCAAAGCTCAGACCAACTCGAGTCTCGGCGCTGGGGCCAGCCAGAGATCTTGCCTTTTCTTCGAAGTCGCGCCGCCGACCGATACAGCCGGCAGCTGCAGGCGCTGCAAGATCAGCCCTTTGCCCGGATATCTATCGGGCCAATTGCTCGTCGGTCGAGTCGAGTCGAGTCGAGTCGGCAGCGTTTCAGGTCCGTCTCGAAAGCTGAACTGGGCTTTACCTTCCTACCTCGACGCTCTCCTCTCCACCCATCGTATCCTCACATCATGTCGCTCCTCCGACAGACAGCCTCGAGCCAGCTCGGCCGTCCGCTCGCGGGCCTGGCCGCCGCCTCGGCCCGCCAGTGTGCCCAGCCCATGCTTCGATCGACACCCGCTCCCGCTTCGCGACGTGGACGAGCCACGGCTGTGGACCCGGCGGACCCCGCTGCCCACGGTATCGCCTCGTCTTCGGCCTCGGCCCTGGGTGCGACGCCCGTAGCCAAGGAGGGTGATATCCGCCACAACTGGTCGCGAAGCGAGGTGCAGAAGATCTACGACTCGCCGCTCCTCGAGCTCGTCTTCCGCTCCGCCAACGTTCACCGCATGCACCACCCCGTCAACCGCGTCCAGCTCTGCACGCTCATGAACATCAAGGAGGGCGGCTGCTCCGAGGACTGCGGCTACTGCTCCCAGTCGAGCAAGTACGAGACCCCCTCCGGCGCGTCCAAGCTCGAGGACCTCGAGACGGTGCTCACCGAGGCGCGCAAGGCCAAGGCCAACGGCAGCACGCGCTTCTGCATGGGTGCCGCCTGGAGAGAGGTCGGCGGTCGCAAGCGCGGCTTCAACCGCATCCTCGACATGGTGCGCGAGATCCGCGGCATGGGCATGGAGGTCTGCACCACCCTCGGTATGCTCTCGCCCGAGCAGGCCAAGCAGCTCAAGGAGGCCGGCCTCACCGCCTACAACCACAACCTCGACACCTCGCGCGAGTACTACGGCAAGGTCGTCACCACGCGCAGCTACGACGACCGCATCGGCACCATCGCAAACGTGCGTGAGGCGGGCATTTCGGTCTGCTCGGGCGGTATTCTCGGTCTGGGTGAGGAGCACGAGGACCGTGTCGGTCTCATCTGGGAGATGGGCACGCTTCCCGAGCATCCTGAGAGCTTCCCGGTGAATGCGCTCGTTGCCATCCCCGGTACGCCCATGGAGAACAACAAGCCCATCTCGTTCCAGGACATGCTGCGCACCGTCGCAACCGCACGCATCGTTCTGCCCGGTTCCATCATCCGTCTTGCCGCAGGTCGTCACCTCTTCACCGAGTCCGAACAGGCCATGGCCTTCCTGGCGGGTGCCAACGCCATCTTCACGGGCGAGCGCATGCTCACCACCCCAACCTCGTCGTGGGATGACGACAAGTCCATGCTCGCCCGATGGGGCCTGCGTGGCATGGAGAGCTTCGAGGACAAGACCATGGCTCCCCACAAGCCCGCTGTCGAAGCTGCTGCCGTGGAAGAGCGCCGCGCAAAGGCCCAGGCCAGCCAAGCCTTCCAGAGCGCCTAATTTCTCAAACTCGTAGACACAAAACACTGCAACGCCACAACCAGGCTCGTTTCAATGGGCACCGCCTGAGATCGTGAAGCTGTGGCCCGAGGTGGTGTTGAACGCGGCGTACGTATTAGCGAGAAGGTAGACTACAGAGCGGAACGCGGAACGTGAGCAAAGTCGAGATGAGATGGTTCGTGTGTGAGATAAAGAAAGAAAGAGAGAGAGAGAGAGAGAGAGAG